CTATAACCAAACGGATTTGAAGACTTTATTAGAGATGAGGAGACTTTATGGTTTTATTGTTTTCAATAAATATTAAACTTAAAAATGTTGTCTAGTCCAACCACACATTGGTGGGCTGAGTTAGTGTAAAAAGCCTCTGCCAACAAGGCGGGCTATTTTAGACAGTCCATAAAGTTTTACCTACATACTGATTCACAAAAATTCCTTCCTAGAAGCATTTATAAATTATCTATTAAACATTTAAAGATATCCTGTATTGTAAAGAATCGATTCTGTCGGTACACGTGTGTGTGTGTACTTTCAACTCTAGTTTTACTCTTTATTGATTTTAATTTTTGAGTTTATTATTTTTAGAGGCACTTGATGTTTTGGTTAAAATAAGATAAGTGTGTTTAAAATGTGATATAAATGTGAATACCATTGTTGCACCATGTGGTACAATGACATAGCGATCTATAAAAATCTGTGTATAAGCTAGTTTTTGCCTTAAAATACATATTGTCCATTCACTTCTCCCAATTATTAAAAAAAATTACTTCATCATCATACAACAAATTAAAATCCTATTTCCTGATCTTACTAAGACCATTATTTATTATTTTTAATTTTTTAATTAATGCTCGGGTCTCTTCTTCAAAACTCTTCACACAGTTCTTTTAGTAACCAACTTTCAGCTTGGCACAGCAGTTGGACATTTAAGATGCACCGAAACAAACAAAACAGCTTAATTTATGCCTCAAATTAAAGTAAAATTCTGTCATCATTTACTCATTTCAAACCTGTATGATTTTCTTACTTTTGTGGAATGTAAAAAAAAAGAAAGCTATTTTAAAGAATGCTTACACTGTTTTTCAAAGGCATCAATGGGGACCAGCTACAGTTAGCAATATTCTTCAAACTATTTTCTTATTAACCTATGTCTTCATGTACTGCATGTGAGCAACACTGGCCTCATATATGACATGAGAAATTCAAGTCTCACCCATTAGAAGTGCTTCTGCAAACTAGTAAATTGTGGAGGGTTGATCTGACGGGCCACTGTGAGAACACTTTTTCTGTTGTTGTGCTTGCCCTCAAGTCTCAGGTGTTTATCCTTCAAAAAAAAAAGTAGTTATGTTTATCTGTAAAAATTAAGTCAGAATCAAATCTCAGCTTTGAGTAGAATAGAAAGAAACTGTGTGGGAGTTGTAGCTCTTTTAACTAGAGACCACTGTTCAAATGGCTTCAAAAGTAACTGGACAGAAATGCATGTCAAACAAAATCATATTCAATATTATCTGTAAGATCTTACACAATCTTGAGTGCAGGGGTGTCATTAGTACAGGGGGCCATAATGATCTCCCCCAAGGCCCCCACAATTTCTACTGAAGGACCAATGCAGTACAGGGGGCCCAGAAAACCTAGATATGTTTCCATATTTAAAGACTTTTTAAGACAAATTGCAGAATTTGTGGCATTTCTCCGTATTGTCATTTTTATTTCAGATCCACGGGGTTGCTTAGTTTTATTTTTCATATTTCCAGCATTTAACCTAAAAATTCACAGTATAATTCACAATGAGCAAAATATGAATTCACTTTCTCTAAGTTAATCAATTTGAGTTATCTTTTTTCTTGTAGTCCTCCTGCTGCCCCACAATAACGCGGAGTTGTGGGAGACTGGAAATTGGGAAACAGTCTGAATTTATTGTTGGTCTGTCCTCAGTAGTAGATAATTTTTTAAGATCTCATTTGTTCTTTAATCATTTCTTGATTTGCAAGAATTTTGAGTATGCCACTTAATTCAAATCACTGTAAATATATGAATAACTGGATACTATATATATATTCGAGGAAACCTTTAAAGGAACACGCCACTATTTTTTAAAATAGGCTCATTTTCCAACTCCCCTAGAGTTAAACAGTGGAGTTTTACCGTTTTCAAATCCATTCAGCCGTTCTCCGGGTCTGGCGGTAGCACTTTTAGCTGTAGCTTAGCATAGATAATTTAATCTGATTAGACCGTTAGCATCTCGCTCAAAACTGACCAAAGAGTTTCGATATTTTTCTTATTTTATTATATTATTATTTTTGTTTTGTTTGGTTTTGCAGATTGATAAAATTATTCTTTTATTTATTTTTTACTATAGTACAAGATTCATTGTAAAATAAAGTTAATGTTAAAAATGATTAACTTTCATTTCTGGAAAAAAGTATATAGGAGTAACTTCTGTAATTAAAGATGTCATCAAATCACGAGTCTGTTTTCAGCAGTTAGGCTATCATTTAAACATCAAAAACATGATACTCTTCAATAATATAATTAAAGGGGTCGTATGATGCTGCTAAAAATCACATTATTTTGTGTATTTGGTGTAATGAAATGTGTTTATGTGGTTTAAGCTTAAAAAAACACATTATTTTCCACATACTGTATACTATTGTTTCTCCTCTATGCCCCGCCTTTCTGAAACGCGTAGATTTTTACGAAGCTCATCGGTCTGAAAAGCGAGGTGTGCTCTGATTTGCCAGCTATCCAGTGCGTTGTGATTGGCCGAATACCTCAAGCGTGAGACGGAAATGTTACGCCCCTCACATACTGTGATGCCGTGTCCCGGCCGGAGCGACGAGACAAAAACATTAAAACCCATTATAAACGAGGCATTTGTTGCATCCAGTGGGGACATAATTACGGATTATAATGACTTATACTGTCTTTTTACGCGTTGCGTTTTGTATTGCGCCGCATAAACATAAAACCATGCATTTGCAAACCGTCTGCATTTGTGATCGAAGAAATGACAAACTACAAGCGCTACTCTACACTGCTCAAAACTGAATCGTCAGTGGCAAATTCTTTAAATATAAAAAAGAATAAAAGTTACGCCTTCTTTCTTTGCGTGAACATTTGGGCGGCGTTATGCAAATCTTCCCACATAGTGAGGTAGATATGTGAGGGCGTGTTAGAACGAGCCGTTTTAGGTAGGTGTGGTTAACTCTTAACTTTTATAAAGAATATCTCTTTGGATTTGAGACTTTAGTCTTTGCAACTTTACAGATCTTCTTTATGCACCAAGAGCTTGTAACACTCCAAAGAGAAAGAAAAATTGAAATCGCATCATATGACCCCTTTAAACATAGGCTACAATTAGGCCTATGTATTCAGAATCAGAATGAGCTTTTATTCGCCAAGTGTGCGCAAACACACAAGGAATTAGTTTTTTTAAGGAGCTCTTGGTACATAGCTACATGCATACATACATACATATATACATCTGACATGAGAACAGAACATTTAAATAAGCAAGACTTAACAATAAATAATAATAATGTGTATGAAACTGGAACAGAAGATTTATGTACAGGTTTGTGCATTATTTACTCTATATACAGCTGTATTAAAAAAAAATCCCCAAGCATGAAAAATTTAATATTGAAAATTAAAATATGAAAATGAATATTGAAAATTAAAATAGCATGAAAATATTCCCCATGCATGAAGAAAATAAGGTTGAATCCTAGGAGCTCTATGTTATAGAGCGATGAATGCAGCCAAGGAAAACATGAAGAATTGGAAAAGAAAGTGGAAAATAACAGGTAAGACAAATAAATTAATTCTACCCATTTACATATCAAACTGTTGGTAAGTCGACAAGAAAAGTTATTTAGGTAAAATAATTATTTTAGTTAATGCATTTAAGACTGCTATACCATGTGCAGCTCAAAAAAAAATTGAATAAAAAAGTGTAAATAACCACACAAGCAAGTGTCGATCAAATGAGCACATGATCGAGTGACATGACTTTAGGGCACGCAGCATGTATCTATGGCAACGCTCAGCTGCGTAGTGATGTGTGGAGTAGCGTAGGGGTGTGTGCGATGTAAAACACTTCTCTGAAAAGGCTAAAAAACACGAATCTAGCAAAGCTCATCTTACCTGTGCAATGACGCTAGCCATGCTTGGACAAGCTTATATAGCAACAGTTAGATGAGAGCTATGGTGTTGGTGTGCGAAACCACAATAAGGAAGTGGATAAAAATAGGCACATTCTCTCGAAGTTAATAGACCAATTTCAGTGTTTGCAAACAGTGATGTGACATGCGTCTTCACAACAGCGCCAAAATTTAAAGAGCCCTCACTACTGCGCGAACATCAGCAATGTTTCACGTAATTCTTACCACTTTCATCAGCGATTAAACATCTTTTTACAGCCGATTCACGAAATCATCTCATCGATTTACAATGTTTAAACTTTCAATAAGTCAGCCGTTCACTTAGATCATGTTAAACAAGTGCAATTTAACCACAATGAACAATGTTTTTCCCTGAGGTACTTACACTTGAAAAGAGCCGTGTCGCCGCCTTCTGCCATTTTCGAATATGACGCCTCCTCTCCCGTGGCCTCATGGGATAGTAAAGTGTCCATCGTATGCATGCTACGGAATTCGGGCGGAAGTAGTAGGTCATCCGGGTACTTCTCGCCTACTGTTTTTCGAATACTATGAATTCGGACGCAGCTCTGGTGATTTTCTCAGATGCCGCCTTGAGTTTTCGCTTTCGTCTGTCTAAAAGGTATTTATACCAGGTGCGTCTCGTCTGAATAGCCAAAATATTCAGCCACTTGAAAACATAGAACTCTATATAAACTGAACCAGTCCTAAACTGTTAACTCGAAAATGTTCATCATTCCAAAAATATTTTCGGAGTTTCTAGACTGTTTTAAGTCATAAAGTGAGATGGATATGTTGAAATTTAGCGCATTGCTTCGGTTGACAGGTTGGATGTATATTAATGACTGTACTAAGCGGGGCCTCCCGAGCTCAACAGCGCCACACATTTTCTCAATATAAATTTGTGGTGAAAAATGGAAATGCAGCGCGCTCTAATTTAGAGCCATATGGGCAGACTACCCCGCTTGCTTTTACATTATGTAAACGTAGTTCCGGACAATATTATATCAATCCGCATCAGCAAGTGTATATAAGTCTGTGTCAGTTAACCAAATGCATCAGACCGTGAAGATGGCGAGTGGTACAGACCATCCTGCGTGTAATAGTGTCGAGTTTCTGTTACAGAATTCGTTTGAGACACTGTCAGTAAGTGAGAAATTAGCGATCAAACAACTTGGCCCCGACAAACCAGATATAAAAATTGTACAGCAAACAAAGTACAATGGTAGGTCATTCAATAGAACATTTTCCAAGTCGTGGTATGAGAAGAAGTCTTGGCTGTCTGGCTGTGCTAAACGAAATGACGTTTTCTGTTTCCCATACTTGCTTGTCCGTTCTTCTTTAACGGGGACAGAGCGATGTGTGGAGTAGCGTAGGGGTGTGTGCGATGTAAAACACTTCTCTGAAAAGGCTAAAAAACACGAATCTAGCAAAGCTCATCTTACCTGTGCAATGACGCTTCTTCGGAAATCTACGGGTGACGTCACGGACACTACATCCATGTTTTTATACAGTCTATGGTTTTAACGTAGCAGTCTATGCAAGCCATGGAATAAAAAAGGAAATTTTGAGTTTACATTTCAAAATTCAGATTTTTTCTTTAAATTCCAGGCTTATATCTGGTAAAAATTATTTGCATTCCGATTCTGACATCCAAAGGCACAACAATACATTTTTTTTCTCATATTCCGTGGATTTTACCCGCTTCCCTCCACTTCTTCCCAGTGTTTCCCAATTAAAAATCTCCAAGGTGCTGTTAGAGCAGTTGCGTGTAGTTAGCTCTCCTGACAGTGAATTTGACAAGGGGAGACTTATTGCACAAACATTTGATGGGGCTAATGTGATGAGAGGAGCATCTGGAGGAGTGCGTAGGAAATTACAGGACGTTTACACGAATGCACATTTTGTGCATTGCCATGCACACCAATTAAATCTGATAATGAAGCAAGCTGTTTCCGGTATGGCACCTGTCCAATGTTTCTTCTCTGATCTTGGTGGTTTTTCCATCGTTTTTTCGAGATCCCCAAAAAGAACAGCAGTTTTGGATGAAATAGTAGGGAAACGGCTACCACGGTCATCTCAGACACGTTGGAATTTTAGCAGCCGTGCTGTCAGTACAGTTTATGAAAATCAAGCCATTCTACTGGAATGTTTTGAATCTATCCAGTCATCTCGAGGCTTTGATTCAGTCATTGTTAGGGAGGCTAAAGGTTTCTGTCGAATGCTTTCTGATCACGGATTTCTCTTCTTTTTGGATCTGTTTCATTTAATTATGCCCCGTGTTGGCATCCTTTATGCACAGCTTCAAATGCGAGGAATTGACGCAGTAGAGGCACACAGAGTTACAAGAAGTTTTGTGGATTCCATAGGCAAAATCTGCGATGATATTCCATCTCTGTGCGCAAAATATACTGGCGTGGATGCTCAGCCTAAACAAAAGTGTGCACCCAATTTACAACAGATCGCATATGAAGTTTGCGACACTGTAATAGCCAATGCCAAAGATAGGTTTTCAATAGAAAAACGTTTAACACATGAGTCATCGAAAAATGTGCTAATATGACACAGAAAGTGTCCTCATAAACCATGTTTACGTTGTAGTACCCAAACCACAGCTGACAACCAGAGACGCACACACACACACACACACACACACACACACACACACACACGGAAAGAGCACCGCAACTTTACAATTGTTCAATTAAAATAAACATATTTTGCTCCATACAACGTGTCTGATGGGTCTTTGATTAGCCTAGAAGTAAAATAAAATGACATTCAGAGGACTTAAAGGGTTACTCCACCCCAAAATGAAAATGTTGTCATTAATCACTTACCCCCATATCGTTCCAAACCCGTAAAAGCTTCGTTCGTCTTCGGAACACAATTTAAGATATTTTGGATGAAAACAGGGAGGCTTGTGACTGTCCCATTTCTGCCAAGTAAATTACACTGTCAAGTTCCAGAAAAGTATGAAAGACACATACAGTCTTTCATACACGGATGCGCTGTTTTCTTTCAAATCAACAGCGCTGCATAGATGTGCTGTTTCGTTCAAATCAAAGCGTAAATACACGTAGAAAACGTATCCTTGTGGTGCGGCTGACACAGAAGAGCGTAAGCTGCCTGCGTTCAGCTCATATTCTCCAAAATGGCGCTACGGTGACGCGGAGAGACATGGAGGAGACTAATTGTTGTGTTAAGTCGTTATTTTTGTTTTCTTTGCGTACAAAAAGTATTCTCATCACTTCATAACGTTACGGTTGAACCACTGATGGCAGCTGGACTATTCTGACGATGCTTTTCATACTTTTCTGGACCTTGACAGTGTAATTTACTTGGCAGTCAATGGGACAGTCACAAGCCTCCCGGTTTTCATCCAAAATATCTTAAATCGTGTTCCGAAGATGAACGAAGCTTTTACGGGTTTGGAATGACTAATGTCAATTTAAATGTTCATTTTGGGGTGGAGTATCCCTTTAAAGCCAAAGTCCCCTAAACGTCCCGAATGGCCGCTGCACGTCCTGTGAACGTCCTTCGCGGACGTCCGCTCGACGTCAAGGGGACCCTACACGCTGACGTCCGGGGGACGTTCGCAGAGGCCATTTAGGGGACGTCCTGGGGACCTTTTTTGTTAGCTGGGGAGATACTCAGCTACTCATCCGCGGCGATGCGTGTTGCATTAGCGCTGTCATATCTTACTATAACATGCCATATAGCCTATGAAACGCTCTCACACGTTTATTATTTTAATAATTTGGGAAGAGTAAAATTTGCATATGTGGTTTCAACAACCAGATGCATTCACACTTGTCCAGTTTCATCTGGAATGCAGCCCAGACCACACCTCTTGAAATGGTTTGAGCGATTAGATTTAAATCCGTCTCGAAAGCGTTTCGGAGGGCATTTACTCCTGGTCTTTTCACAATCCGATAGTTATCCGATCAGAGAAAATGCATGAAGTGGCCAGGTGTCCTGTGGTGAATTGTGTGAATTTTCACTGCTGTGACTTATTCTACAGCTCAAGTCAAACCTTACATTGAATTATTTTGCATTTATACAACTTTTACCTTGGTTCTCAATTCCTGTCCAGGCTCTGCATATTTGTCGTATTTCTTTTATCTGTTACACTCAGTTCAGTTCATGCAGCTCTTTTCTACAGAGCTGATGGTCTGAATCAGAGGAGTTAGATAAGAAAAACTGCTAAATTTGCAGAGCTGTGGGGCACATGGCGCGGAATTAAGAACCGCTGATATAAAGGAAGTTGTGGCCTTGCAGGAACTCAATGCGATAACATTTAGATCTTGTGATATGAGGGATAAAAAGATAAAAAGCCACACGTCAACATCTTAAAGATGTGTGGTTGTTTTCACACTTTTTTACTCACCAGCTCTAACATCAACACATCTCTTATTTTATCACTAAACCTGTTTTGAAGAGTTTGTCTTTTCATATTTGACAAACTGTTCATATTTGACTGAAAATGATTTGGTTCTGTTTGTGCTTGTGGTGTCTAGTTGGTGAGTTTTAAACATTTTTATGAGTTCTGCAACAGATTCAGGGATTTTTCCCCCCTAAATGTATTTTATGTAACAACACTGAAGCTCAAATACTAGCAGCACTAGTTTTCATTGGAGACATTATTGTCATCTGAAGTAAAATGTGTTTTCTGTTTATGATGTTCGGAGCGCAAATTAAATTCAGTGTTTTATTCCAAATCACCACAAAGATGTATTTCAAATGTAAACTTCAAACCATTTACATTAGTGAACCATTAGTATGTTATTAGTAGTTCTTATTCTGTTTCTGTTTGCTCTTCAGGCGTGTTTGGGGATACATATGGGCTGAAGGCAGTTTCAGTGATGGAGGGAGAATCTGTCACTTTACACACTGATAGAGAAATGAGAAATAATGATCGGATTCTGTGGAGGTTTGGACCGGAAAACACTTTAATAGCTGAAATCAATGTGGTGGACAGCAGCATGACTGTAAATGATGATTCTGATGGACGATTCAGAGGCAGAATGAAGGTGGATCGTCAGACCGGATGTCTGACCATCACAAACACCAGAATTGAACATGCTGGACGTTATGAACTACAGACCAACCCCATGAAGAAGTTTTTCATTCTCACAGTCTACGGCGAGTTCAATATCAGTTTCATCTGTTGTGTCCATGTGTTTGTTCGGGATATTATTCTTCACTTTAGTGAATTCAATACTACCATCATGAAGGAATAGTTTTGTGCATCGTGTGTGTGTGTGTGTGTGTGTGTGTGTGTGTGTGTGTGTGTGTGAGAGAGAGAGAGAGAGAGAGAGAGACAGGGTGACAGTGGAGTCAGCTGTCTTAACCGTGGCTTGTGTACTTCACACACATACCAGCTTCATCACTGTGTCTGTCACACGACTCTCTTCCCCTTTCGGGCTCTGTCTTTACATTTATTTTGAAAGATGAAGCTCGCGATTATGGTAAGGGGCGTTACATTTCCGACGAGTGCTTGCGGTGTTCAGCCAATCACAATGCACTGGGTCAGCTGGCCAATCAGAGCAGACTGCGCTTGTCGGAAGGAGGGACTTTGTAGAAAACGAAGCGTTTGAGAGAGGCGGGGCATAGAGGACCTACAATAATGTACAGTATTTGAAAAATAATGTGTTTTTTGAACATTAAAGCATGTCAACATATTCTGTTACACCAAATACACAAAATAATGATCTTTAAAAAAGCATCATATGACCCCTTTAATCTGTGACAAACACTGTTTCTGTTTGTTCTGCAGGTGTGGTTGGCGATAGGGATGAGATGAAGTCAGTTTCAGTGATGGAGGGAAACTCTGTCACTCTACACACTGATACTGAAATGAGCAACAATGATCTGATTCAGTGGAGGTTTGGAAACTATTTAATAGCTGAAATCAAGGAAACGGCCAACGGCATCACTATATATGATGATGTTCTTGAAGGGAGATTCAGAGACAGACTGCAGGTCGATGAGGAAACCGGATCTTTGACCTTTACAAATGCCAGAATTGAACACACTGGATTTTATCAACTACAGACCAACCATACGAAGAAGGTTTTCACTCTCAGTGTCTATGGTGAGTTGGTTATACCTTGTTTTTTTAATTTATTACAGTTTTCAAGTGGGTCTAAAGAAGTAGTGTATCGTTTACATGTTAAATAGGATGAGATACTTATTTAGAACCCTAAAATGAAAATGTCTTATTAATTCCCAAGTTTACATTAACCGTTAACTATCTATATCAGATTGTTTTTAACGCCGTTCTGAATGGTTCTTCCTCATCTACATCGCTAGGGCCTTTCGCACCGCTTTAGTTCCAGAACTAAATGTACAGTACTAAAGTACTGGGACGATTTTGCGCAAACTATTTTCCAGTACCATTTAAAGGGTTGCATTCGCACCGAGAGTATGTACTAAGAAGTGACACAAGCCGGTCGACAGCGTCATCATTTGTGTGCCGCGTTCAACAACAGAAACAAAGAAGAACAACATTAACAACAGGAGGATGAAGGACGCTGTGTTTTTGTTGTGTCTCGCGGGTTTCACAATAATGGACATGGAAAGTCGACGTATAGGCTACGTAAAGCGATTGAAAGAACGGAAAGGAGGACTAAGAATCTCCAACGACAACTGGCAGTGCTACATTTGCTACAAGTGCCTGCACTTCAGCGTCCGTCCATCTATCGCTGTTCTCCATAC